ATTATAATTATAAATTTATAATTTTATGTGATATTGTATTAAATTATTGTTATATTTTTATTGTGTAGTCTAACAGGAAAAAAATGAATTTCTTTTTTATTGGGCTGTGGCCAGGCCTGTAATTTTAGGACCATAATATTGGGTCAAGTCAATCTTGATCCAATAAGTTTAACATTGTACTGTTGGGAAATGAAGATTTTACTTTCCAAGTGGAAAATTATATTTTTTTTGTTCCAATATTATGAATAAAATTTTAATTTGATTCTTAATCTTTTGTTCTATCACAATCAAACCTTCAAAGCTCGACCGCTTTTATTGACTACAATCAGCTCGCATTTGAGGATGCTTGGCTCTCAACACTTCTTTGTCTCTGATCTTTGAAAAAGAAGAATAAAAATCTGTTGGGAATGGTAAAATCTTCAACAACCAGTTGAACTTAGGAATTGTAGATATGGGAGTTGGTGATCAACCCAACCTATTAAACAAACTAAATGTTTGTATATGCCTAGAGCTAGATTGCTGATTTTGTTTGTCAATCCTAGATTCCTACCCTAGCAGAAAATTAAGATTTTCAAGTTAGTTAGTATATTAACTCAATCAAGTTTTTATTGATTATTTGAAAGTATTTATTACAATTATAAATTGGTGACGAAAAAAAAAAAAAGTGGGGCATTTTACCTGCCACTGAATGATACTGAACAACACACAAGACGATGTGTGACGTTTCAGTAAGGTTTAGATCTTTTTCTTCTGGTACAAACTAAGTAGATGTACAAGGGAGAAATGTACACACAACTAGGGGACACACATCCTCTATATGTATGTTGTTGTTTATGGGGAACCATGGATTTAATGGAAAACGATAGAGAGGCTCAGACTTGGGTCATTACTTCTGTGTTCACTAACCTGCTATTGTTCTCCAAGTTTCTATCATGGCTCCATGAGTGAGGAGATGGTGAAAAAAGTAGTGGCCAAGGAGAGGCAGAGGTTCTCTCATTTAATACTTTCCGGGGAACCATCTTTTTGTGTTGCCTGAGAACCCCATTGATAGCTTTCAGGTAGTTACTGGAGTCATGATCTCTTAGAATTGAACCATCTGAGCCGTAGGCTGTAGGATCACTCAGAGTCTCCAAGGGATGGGGACAATTAAGGAAGGCCTTCAAGGCATTTGTGGAGTAGTCATAACGGTTCTTGTCCAAAACATAAAGAGCATTTCCTGGAGGGAGCAGAGGGTGCGATGGGGATGACTTTTCATCTGGTTGGAGAATGAATAGTTTTCCCATTGGGGAATATAAAAGTTTCTGCTTTGACACCAAGACAGAAGAAAAACAATTAATCAGAAAATGAATGCAAAGTTTACCAATCAGGAAAGTCAGGCCAAGCTAGCAACTATTCATAATATAGTTTCTTCACATCGAAATACCTAACCGTTAAAAGAAGTATTTCATATTTTTGTAATGATTGCTATAATGAAGGGTCTTACTCTTAAGTGCTATCACTATGCTTATTATCTCATAAAGAAGTATTTAAGGTGGGACTTACATTTTTAATTAGACAAGGATGTGTCCGGAATGAGTTCAAACGCTTGAGGACAAGGGAGACATGGTTGGGGTAGTTGCAGGAAAAAGCTCTAGGGACAATGTCCCTGTGCATCATCACACAATGAATATGGCTCTCATCTAGCCCCAAGTCTTTCAGTACCTTCTGACCTCCACAGAACACAAATGGTGAACCAAAAGTGACAACTCGCCTCAGAGCAGAAGGCTCAACAACTCTCCTAGTCAGCAGCATCAAGTTTACTAGAAGAGAAAGGCTGCCACCGAGTGAATGGCCAGTGAATTGAAATTTTGCACGATCGCCATGTCTCTTCAAATGGTCCACAATTTCTGGCAAGAATTGTTGATAGACACCCTTTGCAGCTTCATATATTCCTCTGTGAACCAACACATCCGTATCCTGCAAAAAAAAGTGAAGAGTTTCTTAGTGACTACATGCATGAAATCCGTGTCAAAGATTTCACAAGGTTGGGAGTTTCCCTCGCAGTTGTAGTGATCATTTTTGTCCTTGCACCTATGCTCACCTCAAATCTAGTCGGTTCAAAGAAAAGGTTTGCCAGCCAAGAGGCCAATGAGTCTGATCCCTACAATTCAATTTAAATAGATGTTAAACTCAAGAAAATTAAGATATACCTGCATTTACCATTTCCTAATATCACTTTCCTCTCATCCAAAATTCAGACCTCTATTTTAGCTTTTGCAAATGAATAGAACAAAAGAATTTGGGCCTATCCATGCAAATGAAATGGACAAAGGTAGGAATTACCTGAATGACAAAGCAACGAGTATATGTGCTTGAGTCATCACAAATGAACCATTCACAAGGTGATGAGTGTACTGACTGAAGATCCCTGGCAGCCTCCTGCTTCTCCTTCTCCCTTGCTGCTACGACAGCAGTCATTGTTGACGCTGCCATATGAGCAGCCACCTCCGATTTATGTACTCGATGGCAGTTCTCTCCTTCAATTTCTGTCCGGTCTCCACCGTCACCCAAATCAACGCAATCACCCTCATGCTGGGAGTCGGAGCCCATGGACAAAAGGTCCTTTGTACGTGACTGAACATAAGATGCAGCTGAAGCAGCAACCTCATAGGCAACAGCCATAGAGCGGACAGGGCGTTTCTTATCTGAACCCATAGGTTGTTGTGAGTTGGGTTCACAGGCTGATGTGGCAATAACAGGTACACGAGTAGAGTCCTGATCAAGCTTTGCTTTGATTGCAGCCACCTCTTCTTTCTTTTCAATAGAAGATGTTACAAACTCTAGGCCATAATATCTTCTCAAATCCTCACCCTGCTTCATATATAACCAGGAATAATGTTACACCTTTGTACAAGAATAAATCAAACGATTGAGTTTATGGACGCTTATAGATGGGGCACTATGGGGCCAATTAGAAAAAAAAAATGTGTATAATACACAAAAAGAAACCCAACATATACATGAGGCAGGGAGATTAGAGACAAGAAAAAGCAAGTTTAGTGGAATACAAAATATACAACCAATAAAAATTAATGACAAACATTTGGGCAAAAGGATGCAAAATACAAGTACATACCTTGAGCTCTGGTATCACATAAGCCATGTTGCATAAGAAGGCCAGCTGAGAGAATAGCTTAGTATCAGACCACGGGACCTGAACCAATAATTTTGAGAAGGATTCACCATCATATCTCTCTTCACTTCCTCCTTCTTCTGAGCCATAATCAACAACACAACCAACTTCATCTACATCACCGTCACAATCACAATCACAAGCCCCATTCTCACTATCACAAATATCAACTCCATCTGCACTTTCTTCTTGCTGTCTATTCTTCCATAGACTTCTAATCTCCAGCAACCTATCCACCCAGTTTGCTCTGTTTATTTCCTTCTCTTCTTCATTGTTTTCCACTGAATTCTCAACAGAAGTCACTTCCTTGTCAGCTATACTCAAATTCTTACTCGTCTCTGGGTCATACAGAAACGATCTGAGCGAGTTTGGAATTATTGAGTCAGATATCTGCAAGGAGAAGATCCCAACAGAGCGACTGTTCTTCAGCTTTGGTTTCACTGATTCATAACGTTTGCGATTGACAGAGTAACAAAGGTGGTTATCCGAGTAAGATCTCCGGATACCAGCTTTCTTGCAAAGATTTAAGCCAGAGTGTGATTGGCAAAGACCACAATGTTCTCTTAAAATGTCTTTTCTTGCTGCAGCAGCTGGAGAGGTGGGTATGGTCATGGATGTGGGTGTGGATGTCATGGCTTGTATCAGATAGTATCTGCACAAAGTAAGGCAAATTTGGTTCACCTGAGTAGTAGGCCTGAGAAGGTAAGAAGCCCTATTGCTGGAAGGCTTTGAAACAATTCAAGGAATTGTAACGAGCATTATATGGGACAGCATACTGGCAAATAACTATGCCTTTAGTAAACAACGAGATCTAAATCTGTGGCTATATTATATTAGAGCTAATAAGTTGCCAAACAAAATGAGCATTGAAAAAAGTGACAAGGAGAGGTTAAAGTCTATCCTTAGTATCTGTGCAAGGATTCATAGTTATGTCCAAGAATTTTTATACCATCTAGACCAAGATATTATCATCTAGTCATAAAATGCATATGCATGAGCACCACATGAGCGAGGGACGTCAAAATCGATTAGTTCTATGGTGTAATGTGCTTTAATGTGGAAGAAAGTAGGTAGGAAATTAGTTTTGGTGGGAGACATGATGTGGATGTTAATCCAACATGTGCGGAGAACAATTGTCTTGTACCTTATAACAGAAAGATAACATGAAGTTGTTAGGTGGACTCAATGGCAGCCTGTGGTCTTTAGCGTTTCAAATGAAGCATCTTCTCTACTTGAAAATCCCCGTTCCTCACTACCTGTCACAACGAAATGACGGTGAGAACCGAAATTGTCTTTCAACTCGTTATATATGAGCACATAGTACCTTGTAATCTTTCAAAAACAATATAACTTAAAAATGAAGCTTGAAAGATTCCACAAAAGGCATTTTAGAAAGATTAAAACAAACGAAATGAATGATGCTTCTTCATAGTTGGGCTTGGGTCCCATAAAACAAAGCTGTATACATGTGCCTTCGGGTGGAAAAAGGAATAGAAAACATACTTTACAACTTTGTTACAGTTATTACAGAACACAAACTCATTGATTTAAACCATTTTTCATTTGTCTAGATACTCCTCTCTAAACGGGCAAAAAGGGGAAAAGTTCAAAGCATTTCCTTTTATTAATGTAGGTGCACGTGCATCCTTGCTGCTTGTCCCTTACCAAATTCTGTGTGTACATGAACATTGTTAACTGTCAACACAAATGCACGAACACGCTGATTATTGTCGTTGATGTGAATTAAAAAAAAAAAACAAAACAAATTTTTTTATGGTAAAAGAAAACAAATTCCAGAAATCTCTGCAATAGATTAACGAACCAGCCTCCTTGGCATGATAGCTCATGGCTGAAGCTTATTATGACTAAGGCCCAACTGCCCAGGCTTAAGATTTGAAAACTCGCTCTTTGTTAATTGTAAGTTATACCTTTTCTTGAACATAAATAAAATAATAAAAAATGTTGTACATTTTAAATTGTTTAAATTACATAATTTTAACTATTAAATTGGATAATTTTCTTAATATAAAGAATTCTCTCTATTATTTAATTATTTGTGTTTTATAATTTAATATAATACCAAGAATAAAATAAAAAACTCTAAATAAAACGGACAAAATAGCATATTGTCTTGAGTCCTGGCTCATGATACATAGAACAAGGAAAAAGGTAAAAGGTTCAAAAAAAAAAAATTGCTGAAATTCAAGACAAACAATGATGAAAATGTTAAAATATTTTTAAAAATTAATATAAAAAATAATTAAAATTATTTAAATAATTTCACAAGAAGCTCTAGCTTCTATTTCAAGAAGTTTCACTTTAACTTTTTTTGTATAAAGGGAAAAAAATAAGCAAAAGCTTGGTTTAGCACCTCATATGAAAATGTTAAAATATTTTAAAAAATTAATATAAAAAATTATTTAAATTATTTAAATAATTTCACAAGAAGCTCTAGCTTCTATTTCAAGAAGTTTCACTTTAACTTTTTTTGTATAAAGGGAAAAAAATCAGCAAAAGCTTAGTTTAGCACCTCACCTTACTAAGTTTGAATGTTTTAATTCATTATTTTATATAATGATATTTTTACCCCTTACCTTATCAAGTTTATAGGTTCTAAGCTCTCACCTATTAAAATTAAAAAAAATAACCCTCATTTTATGTTAACTGTTAACTTTGTTAGTTGAAAGTTGATTTTTATTAACTAACAGTCAACTAATAGTTAAATAACAAAATTAACGAAATATTATAAAATTAGTTCTGTTAATTCTATTAGATAAAAGAAGATTTTTATCAGTCAATAGTCAATTAACAGTTAGTTAATAAAGTTAATAGTCAACTAACAAACTAACAAAATATTATTAAATGAGGGTTATTTTCTTCAATTTTAATAAGTATGGGGTTAAAAATATCATAATATAAGATAAGAGACTAAAACCTACATATCTAGTAAGGTGAGGGGTTAAAATTATCATAATATAAAATGAAGAGTTAAAACATTCAAACTTGATAAGATGAGGGACTAAAACTAAGCTTTTACCAAAAAAATCCTCCCCTCCCTATTCTTAAATAAGAGAGCTTTAGGTATTAGCCAAAAAAAAAAAAAAAACTTCAAGTATTTCTTATAGTTAAGAGCAGAGAACTAGTTAGCTATAATAAATTAATATAAAAAATAATTAAAATTATTTAAATAATTTCACAAGAAGCTCTAGCTACTATTTCAAGAAGTCTCACTTTAACTTTTTTTGTATAAAGGGAAAAAAATAAGCAAAAGCTTGGTTTAGCACCTCATCTTACTAAGTTTGAATGTTTTAATTCTTTATCTTATATAATGATATTTTTACCCCTTACCTTATCAAGTTTATAGGTTTTAAGCTCTCACCTATTAAAATTAAATAAAATAGCCCTCATTTTATGTTAACTGTTAACTTTGTTAGCTGAAAGTTAGTTTTTATCAACTAACAGTCAACTAATAGTCAAATAACAAAATTAACAAAATATTATAAAATTAGTTTTGTTAATTCTGTTAGATAAAAAAAGATTTTTATCAGTTAACAGTCAACTAACAGTCAGTTAATAAAGTTAATAGTCAACTAACAAACTAACAAAATATTATTAAATGAGGGTTATTTTCTTCAATTTTAATAGGTATGGGGTTAAAAATGTCATAATATAAGATAAGAGACTAAAACTTACATATCTAGTAAGGTGAGGGGTTAAAATTATCATAATATAAGATGAAGAGCTAAAACATTCAAACTTGATAAGATGAGGGACTAAAACTAAGCTTTTACCAAAAAAATCCTCCCCTCCCTATTCTTAAACAAGAGAGCTTTAGGTA